GGAGCGACAAACTTATTCGGGGCCACCGCCAGTGTGGGGGCGGCTGGGGGCGGCGGGGGCGGCGGGCACTCGTATGGCTGCAGACAAACCGGGACCGGACTGAGGTGGCGGATAAAGGCTTTACTCCGGCTGGAGGCGGGGGGGGGGAGGAGGGGGGGGCACGGTCGAGGCGCTAAACGCTTGGGGCGTGGGGGTGGGGGGCGGCGCCCAGGCCCCCGGGGGCGGAGATTCCCAGGACCGATGTGTGTGGTTCATAGCCGGGCCACCACCAGGACCAGAGGGAACACCACAAGTCGTCACTCCTTGACAGTTTTCCCTGTTTTGTTTCATTGAAGGATAGTTATTCGTTTAACCGCCACGTTTGTCGAACCCGTTCGTACTTCCCCCAGCCTGAGTCTCTGAACAGCGTGCTCCGAGAAACAACAGAGGGTGGACCTATCGCGTTGAGCATAGAGAGAGAGAGAGAGAGAGAGAGAGAGAGAGAGAGAGAGAGAGAGAGAGAGAGACGGCCCTCGCGGCATCGCATCGCGGTGGCGGCTAGACCGCGGTTGGGGGAGGGGGGCCTCATTGCGCTCGTATTGACCAGCAGTAACAAAGTTGTAAACTCGCCGGACATGTTTCTTCCTCCCCGTGCCACGCAGTGTCGCGGCGCTCCGGCTCCCTTTACTATTTCCGCGTCCGCGCACACAGTCGCTTCGGCGTAACCGCGGCCGCCTGCGGTGGCTCGGCGCGGCATGCGGTGCCCCGCCCGCGGGGGTCAGGTTTTTGTGACGTGTGTGTAGACATGTGCGCCGACCGCATTTTCATCGGCGGCGGCGTTTGGCCGAAATTTAGCCGGCGGCGGCGGCGACGCCGGCGTCTGCGCCGATGTCTTGGGGCGGCGGGGCGGCGCGGCGGCGCGGGCGGCGTGGTTGACTTAAATTTGGTCTATTTTCTCAATTTAAAAACATGCCCATGAAAATAAAACACAATTTGATGGACTAGTTCTTTAGGGTGGACTAGTTTCGTTACAAAGGTACAAATTAAGCAATTTAAACACTCCAATAAGAATTTGTTCTGGCGGCGGAGAACGTGCTCGTCGGGTTGCCTATCCCTGGGCGCTCGCTGCTGATGGAAATGCAAATATTTTGGGGCATTTAAGGTCGCGACGCCGACGCCGCCGCCGGTAAAATCATCGGCGGCGGCGCGGCGGCGCGCCGCAAATTTTTGGTCAGCGGCGGCGGCGTGGTAAAATTTGTCGGCGGCGGCGCAGCGGCGGCGCGGCGCACATGTCTACGAGTGTGTAGATGAGCTCGATTTGGCGCAGGCCGGCAAAAAGTTGCCGCCGAACGGGCAGCGCAGCGGACGTTGTCGCTGTCGGTACTCGCGGGGCCGTCCGGCCGCCTCTCTGGCTGCGCCCCCTGCAGTGGCGTGGCCGGGGGTGGGTGGGGGCGGAATGGCCTCGTATGTCTTGCAGGCCGGCAAGCGGGCAGCTTGTTGGGCACGGCGCGCCACGCCAGCTTGTTGGGCACGGCGCGGCACGCCAGCTTGTTGGGCACGGCGCGGCACGCCAGCTTGTTGGGCACGGCGCGGCACGCCAGCTTGTTGGGCACGGCGCGGCACGCCAGCTTTTGGGGACGGCGCGGCACCCAGCTTGTTGGGCACGGCGCGGCAGCCAGTTGTTGGGCACGGCGCGGCACGCCAGCTTGTTGGGGACGGGCGGGACGCCAGCTTGTTGGGCCGGGGGGGCACGCCAGCTTGTTGGGCACGGCGCGCCCCCCAGCTTGTTGGGCACGGCGCGCCCCGCCAGCTTGTTGGGCACGGGCGCGGCACGCCAGCTTGTTGGGCACGGGGCGGCACGCCAGCTTGTTGGGCCGGCGCGGCACCCCAGCTTTTTGGGCACGGCGCGCCACGCCAGCTTGTTGGCACGGCGGGGCACGCCAGCTTGGGGCACGGCGGGGCACGCCAGCTTGTTGGGCACGGCGCGCCACGCCAGCTTGTTGGGCACGGCGCGGCACGCCAGCTTGTTGGGCACGGCGCGCCACGCCAGCTTGTTGGGCACGGCGCGGCACGCCAGCTTGTTGGGCACGGCGCGCCACGCCAGCTTTTTGGGCACGGCGCGGCACGCCAGCTTGTTGGGCACGGCGCGCCACGCCAGCTTGTTGGGCACGGCGCGCCACGCCAGCTTGTTGGGCACGGCGCGCCACGCCAGCTTGTTGGCTAATGTTCGGCCCATCTGATCCCCTCGGGGCTGCCATAAATTGAAATAAGTTCGGAGCGGGGCTTTGGCAAGGGGGAAACGACTGAGAAATTTTGTGTACATCGGATAGGGATAACCCCGGATAACCCGCGGATTACCTCCGGATTACATCGAAAAATTTCTAGGATTACCATGGGATTGCGCCGGATTCCCCCGGATTACCGCAAAATTTTCCCCCGGTTTAAACCCCGGGTTTACCTCAGGATTTCCCCGGATTACTTCGAAATTTCTGGTTATCCGGATAGCGGATAACCAATTTGCTGTACATCGGATAACCGAAGTCGTTTCCCCCTCGGGCTTTGGGCTGGCCCACTGGGTCCTTTCGGCCCGCTTTGCAGTGCTTGCAGTGGATTGGCACCGCGGGGCTGGGGGCCAGGGGACGGACAGCCCAAAACTCATTTGCGAGTCGGCAAGTCAGTCACTCTTTCGCTTGACGAGGACCTGCGTCGCTCTGTCTCCGTCGCACTCGCGACGGGCGCCGCTCGGAATCAGCGTGCGGGATCTTTCGCGCGGCGCGGAGTGATCGTCTTTTAACGTGGTGCTGCAGCTGCACACACAATGCCCCCCCCCCCCCCTCCCTCTCGGGCCGCGGGCCAACTCAAACTGCAGATAGGGCCGTGTGTCAACGCGCAAATGCCGCGCGTCGGCCGCGTCCCCCCGCGACGTCAGCGTCTCGGTACATTTGGAGGCGAGGCCCGCTAAGCACTGCCCCCTCCCCTCTCTGTCTTCCGGCCGCTGCCGCACTGGGGATGCCTAAAGAGAGGGATGGCGTCGGGGCACGCCCCAGGCAGGCCCGCGGCGGCGGTCGGTAGCACTGTATCGGTATGTTGTATCGCCCCGCCCCGCCCCGCCCCGCCCCGCCCCCCGAACAGTTTGGCGCGAGACGCTTGCTTGTTTGGAGGGTGGGTGGGGGAGGGGGGGGGGGGTCCATCAGGTTAATTTAGGGCATGCAAATGAATGACGACGGCCCCCGGAGGGTACGGACACACTCACACTCAGACGCAATCACACACGCACACACACACACACGCCGCGTGCACATCCTGTGGTGGCTGCGCTGCCGTATATCAAAGGGCTCGGCGTATCTACTCCATTTTCTCCGTGTGGACCAATGTTTGTTGCGCGCGTGTGTGTGTGTCTCTTTGTCGTGGTGTTGGTGATGCACTTTGTCGGGGCGCCACTGGGAGGCGTCCCCACCGCACCACCACCGCCGCGGGGCGAGATGGTGATGATCTGATGGCCGCGTGCCGCGTGCGTGGTGGCCGTGGTGGCCGTGGTGCGGCGCCGAGCGGAATGCGTTGTTCGGAGAGGTGTGCTGGCTGGCGGGGCGGGGCGGGGCGGGGCGGGGCGGGGTGGGGTTCCGGTGGGGGGTTCGTTAGGGGGTTCGGGATTAGCTGGTGCGAAAGAGTGGTGCGGCAGTGCTGCGGCGTGCCAGGGAACTGCACGCACTCGCGCGCTTCCCCCGCAGGCCCACGCGAGGAGTGCCACTGTACGCGCATTGTGTTCCCCGAGCAGGCGGAGGTGTGCCTCGCCACCTCCGTGAAGATAGCCTCACCCATTTGAGCACAGTTAAAAAAACTACGCTCAAGAAACTGTGCTCGAACTGTGCTCTCAGAATATGCCACAGATTTCATTTGTGCTCGAACGAGTCGGTGGAAATCGAGTGCAACGTTTTGGGTGAGGCTCACGTAACGCTGCCCCCACCCAAGTAAGCACAACTGATAAGACTATGCTCAAAAAACTGTGCTATAATTGTGCTCTCAATTGCGCGTAGAGACAAGGGCTGTGCTCAGATAGAAAAAAATAGAAAATCAGAAAACACGGGTGAGGCTCACTTCACACTCGCCTCACCCATTAACACAACACCCTCCAAAACAACGTTATCAAATCAGAAATTAATTGTGCTCTCCAAATAACCCCCAAAATAACTGTGCACAAATAGGGCGCCGCTGCATAAGACTGCAGGCCAGGGGATTTGCGTTTTGTGTCCATTTTGTTGGCCGAACTTACCAACCCGAGCAAAAAAGGGACCACTCCCAAAAAAACTGTACTCGAATTGTGCTCTTGAATGCACGTATCGAGAGCGTTTTTCCCCCTGGGGAAAGCTTGGAAACGCCACAAATGCGAAAGTGGAGCTTCAACACCTCAAAAGGCGTGCACAGTTGGGGGGAAAATTACCAAGCCCAGCACAAAAATTAGGACCACTGCCAAAAAACTGTGCTCGAATTGTGCTCTCGAATGCTCCCCTCAGAAGTGCTCTTGCTCCTCGGGAAAGCTGGAAAATCTCCGGAAAAGCGTGTAGCGAGGCCTGCGCACTAACGCGCGCCCCTCGAGCACAATAAATGGGAACCCTGCCAAAGATCTGTGCTCGAATTGTGCTCTCGAATGCACCCCTCAGAAGTGCTCTTGGTCCTCGGGAAAGCTGGAAAATCCCTGGAAAAGCGTGTAGCGAGGCCTGCGCACTAACACGCGCCCCTCGAGCACAAAAAACGGGAACCCTGCCAAAAATCTGTGCTCGAATTGTGCTCTCGAATGCACCCCTCAGAAGTGCTCTTGCTCCTCGGGAAAGCTGGAAAATCTCCGGAAAAGCGTGTGGCAAGGCGTTCATCATCTGAAGGCACATGATTTGACTGTCTGATAACTTTTTGTGTTTTATGTTCGACAGGTTTAAGGACATAGGACGTTGATTAATCTTCTATATTTTTATTGGCTGAAATTTTTTCAGTTTGATTAACAAATACAGTGTTTTTTGATTTTTTTTAAAGATTATTATTTAATTATTTACCGACTGAAATTGTTCTTAATTCAATGCTTCGTTATGATGCTTACACTCTTAGGTCTTCAATTCGGGTTTATTAATTTGAATGCACATGGGTTATATGACCTAACACTTATGTATAAAAAACCTCGTTTAAGAAAAAAAGCTTATGAATTGTAATACAATTGTTAGTTACAAATATGTCAATAATGATTACATCGTGTAGAGTAGCATGCAAACCGAAATGACCTTGTCGGTTTTAAGATTTTCGTGCTTCGTTCTTAGATCATCAAATATCTGCCAACTTCCTCCAATCCGTCGAGAGAATGTGACATAATGACCTTCCCTCCTTCTTGAAGTTGTATCGCCTTGATGCTACATAAGGTGCATTGAATCCAATTGCTCCTCGCAGAGTGTAAGTAGTACCCAAAAGGTCAAGCGATATTGGTATCTGACTTAAACGACACTTATATGTTGTTTCAAAGGTAGCCGTTCCTTTGCCCTGACTCTCATACTCATACCCACATCTTTCATTTCCAACACCAGGAATGGAAATAAGAACGGTCTGCTGCATTGTGTATACGTGCTCGACAACGCCAGAGCACAGTACATATTTGGAGAACGTGGGGTCCGGTGGAAAGTTTGTAACATAATCCGGGTCACCACAGATGTCGTTCAATCCATCCTTGAACGGCTGCATACATTGGGAAGTACTAAATACCATGTTGTCGTGAATGCACCTTTCAAGTTGTTCTATGCCATCCCTCAAAAGAGTTTGCGTGTTGGCAGTAAGTACAATCAGATTTGATCCACAACGATCACGGGGACAGACCTGAGAAGAGCATGTTTCTGCATCTAACATGGAAACTGGTCCGTTCAGTTTTACTGCTAAAAACTCAGGCGTCATGGCGCAATCAAGTGTCACGAGCTTTTTTGACATAGTTCCGTGAGGAAGATGTTCGTATAGCAATTGGGCCCTGGCTTGGTATGCTGCATCGTTTACACCTTTGGTAACAATTTGCGAAGCTAGCTTCAAAATTGGGGACTCGCTTGCAGTAGCCAATTCTCTAAAGGCTGGGCTATCACAATAGGCAGTGGCAAACACGTGTACGAGGGAATCAAAACCACATGTGTTGGTTAGGGACACAGTCACCTTCCCACACTTTCGCGCTCGTAGGCTCATGTTGCCACCATTTTGAAGCGGCTTAAGCTTTGACTGCATATTGTTGTCTGCACGCAGCTTTAAATCCGGTTGTGGACTGCCGTAGTAACTGCCTTTTTTCACAGGCTTGCCATATCCCTTCCAGTTTTCAAACGACCAATATTCATCGGTACCTACAAATATTTCAAAGTAACTATCCCGAAACAAAATAAAAACATTTAACGAATAAAATTGCGTCCACAAAGATAATATTACCTGGGCAACTCTTTTTGCAAGAAGTGCACAAGCGTTTCGGGTTTGTCGAGTCCTGACTCCCAGGAACTGGAACCGAACAGCTGTCAATTGCGTGAACTGGCTTTAAACATTTTACGCAGTTTACGCTGCCATCTGGCTTTGATTTTGAGCACAAAACACAGAATGAATCAGTAGCATCTGCATAAAACCAGTAAAAAAAATAATTTTACGCTAGAATGACAATTAGCAAAGAATAGTTAAAGTTAAATTGATTGAATTGCACTTTTCAAATTCTTGCCTTTAGTATGCTGCCTAGCTTGAGTGGATTTAACAACCTGCGTCTTTTTGAAAGGCCGACGTGGACCAGAAGAGCCTAAAATTGGACTGGTTGCCCTACTTGCCAAATCATCATTACGATTTTCTGAAGCTGGTCCACTACTTTTCAGGACATCTTTCGGCAATGGTCGCGCATTTTCTGAATTCTGGGAATTCAAAGTTGGCTTTAAACTGCGAGGACCTTAACGGAAAAAAAGTAGTACGAAATTGTAACGTTAGAAGCTCAAGAAAAAATGTATAACGAAACGTTGTAAAATATCTTACTGGCATTGACTCTAGGGGTTTTGTCCAAAAAAGGTGGAGCTGGTGCCTTGCTTGCAGGTAAGAAGGGATGCACAGCCTTTCTTCTACGCGGCTGTGCAGCCCCAAATATGTGACTCAAATCGTGAGCATTCATCTGCGCAGAGCGAGGGCTCGCCGCTTTCTTAGAACCAACATTATTGCTTGGATCAACAGAGACTAGGAAAAAAAATACAGACAAAACGATGATACCATTTAAAACGGAAGGAGACACAAAGAGGAAGGGGGCTCAGTAGCGGCCGAGGCGATGCGCATGCCGAATGCGTCCAACTTCCCGCTGTCTCACAATCACTGCATAAGACTGTCTCTTTCCACACAGACCAAACGCGCCTGCCCTCTGACGTTCAGCTCCAGGAACGCTTTTCCGGAGATTTTCCAGCTTTCCCGAGGAGCAAGAGCACTTCTGAGGGGTGCATTCGAGAGCACAATTCGAGCACAGATTTTTGGTAGGGTTCCCATTTTTTGTGCTCGAGGGGCGCGTGTTAGTGCGCAGGCCTCGCTACACGCTTTTCCGGAGATTTTCCAGCTTTTCCGAGGAGTAAGAGCACTTCTGAGGGGAGCATTCGAGAGCACAATTCGAGCACAGATTTTTGGCAGGGTTCCCATTTATTGTGCTCGAAGGCGCATGTTAGTGCGCAGGCCTCGCTACACGCTTTTCCGGAGATTTTCCAGCTTTCCCGAGGAGCAAGAGCATTTCTGAGGGGTGCATTCGAGAGCACAATTCGAGCACAGATTTTTGGAAGGGTTCCCATTTATTGTGCTCGAGGGGCACGTGTTAGTGCGCAGGCCTCGCTCCACGCTTTTCTGGAGATTTTCCAGCTTTCCCGAGGAGCAAGAGCACTTCGGAGGGGTTCATTCGAGAGCACAATTCGAGCACAGTTTTTTGGCAGTGGTCCTAATTTTTGTGCTGGGCTTGGTAATTTTCCCCCCAACTGTGCACGCCTTTTGAGGTGTCGAAGCTCCACTTTCGCATTTGTGGCGTTTCCAAGCTTTCCCCAGGGGGAAAAACGCTCTCGATACGTGCATTCAAGAGCACAATTCGAGTACAGTTTTTTGGTAGTGGTCCCAGTTTTTGTGCTCGGCTTGGTAAGTTCGGCCAACAACATGGACACAAAACGCAAATCCCCTGGCCTGCAGTCTTATGCAGCGGCGTCCCTATTTTTGCACAGTTATTTTTGGGGGGTTAATTTGGAGAGCACAAATTTAAATTTTTGATTTGATAACGTTGTGTTGGAGGGTGTTGTGTTGATGGGTGAGGCGAGTGTGAAGTGAGCCTCACCCGTGTTTTCTGATTTTCTATTTTTTTCTATCTGAGCACAGCCCTTGTCTCTACGCGCAATTGAGAGCACAATTATAGCACAGTTTTTTGAGCATAGTCTTATCAGTTGTGCTTACTTGGGTGGGGGCAGCGTTACGTGAGCCTCACCCAAAACGTTCACTGATTTCCACCGACTCGTTCGAGCACAAATGAAATCTGTGGCATATTCTGAGAGCACAGTTCGAGCACAGTTTCTTGAGCGTAGTTTTTTTAACTGTGCTCAAATGGGTGAGGCCATCTTCACGGAGGTTGCCTCGCCGCGCAGGGGAGCCCGCGCCTGCGGGTGGGCTGTCCCGAGGGACGGGCGCCGAGATGCTCATCAAGAGGGCCGGCGGGTCGCTCTGCGCAGCGTGCGTGGCTCTCCCTGTCTCTCTCCAGCGCGTGGCGGGGAGCGCCTGGCGGGTAGGCAGTCGGCCGGGGCGCGGCGTGGCTGCGCTGCGGTGCTGCCTACACTGCATTACCATTACCATTAAGGGCTAGACCACTCATGATCGTATGCCATTTCGGGCCCGACTCATGCTCGCCTGCACTGCAAAACGAGACAAGGTCTTCCTTACTAGGGTGACACGTTATGCCTGCGGAGCGTCCTGCCGGCCCGGCCATGCCGGTCACGGAGTGGCCACCACGGCCAAGTAACGCGCCTCGCGCACTGAGGGAAATGTTTTGGGGCCACACCTAAACTTACAGATGTGACAACCAATCTGTTTGGTCGCTGGGGGTTCAATTAAACGTTCGATGGCCACATTTAAATCGTTTAGTCGCACTACTTTAGTTGTGAGATGTACTCTTTTTCTAACATGTCGTCTGTCTATTTTAGCCACTGCCACTAAATCAAATCTTGTTACAGTGACTGAATGCGATAAGGTCTGACGATTGACTGTTTAGTCCTGACACATAAACGTAAACCGATGAAAAAACGACTTCAAAACGAGTACTCGAACCACGGACCTCCGTGTTACAAGTCCGTCGCTCTACCAACTCGCCCACCTGGCTGACTGAGAGACGCCGGCATTGATGGGCCTCTTGGACTGACGAATGTGTGCGGACGCACCGAGAAAATCATAGCTCGCTCCCTTTCCTGGGGTCCCAAGTGTCCCACAGTCCATCTCCTGACAGCACAATAGTATACAAAGATACTATGCCAGGAGAAACTGGTTGCGCTACGGGGAGTTAAAACCCGAACCGGCTTCTTATCCAGCCCCCAGGCGCGGAGACCACTGAGCTACCGCACTGTTGAGAATGTGGCGGAGCGCTGGGCGATGGCAACGCGACTTCCGTGTTGAGTGTCGCATCGCCAGTGTTCCGGTGCCACACCTAAACGCTTTCGTCGCGACTACTGACCATCGATCAAGCCTATGACTAAAGCCAGTTTAATCGAGTCCTTTCATGCTGACTATTATTGGCGGTTCAGTCACTCTCACTATTTAGCAGTCTTATTGTGATCATCGGCTGAACAGTTGCAAGGATTGAACTCGTGTAACTGTCGCCATTGGGGGGTTCCACAAAACACAGTTTTATCGTGAGGCACCGACCCCTTCTCTCAGTGCGGGGAAAGGGCGCCCTTCATTATGATAGCCTAATTGGCGTTTGTGGCGCGTCCCCACGCGGCCCGCCCCGCCTCGCCCAGCCCCGCCATTGTCCGAAACATTTTGTAAAAAGCGGTGATGAGCATCAGCAGGATGAGGCAGTTTGGCGGCCGGCCTGCCTGGGGCCCGGAACGCCGGGCCTGCCACTCCACTTCGCCGCGGCGAAAGTGCGCGGCGTTCGCGTCGTCGTCTCCCCAACGGCGGCACTGCACTGCTCGGAGGGGAGCGCGCTGTTTCAAAATCCAAGTCGGCTATAAGCGCCGTTACACTGATGGCAAGACAACCAAAGCCACTCGCGCAGCACTGCTAACACGCCGCAATGACAGTGACATTAGCCTTGCACTTTTTTGGCAGTGTGTGCGGTGCCCGGCGGTGCCGCTTTTGGCGTGAAATTGGGCCTCGGACTCATTGTCTGGCGTGGGAACGCACGGCGAGGGGCCCTGTCGGCCCTGTGCCTTGCCGTGTCGCCGCGTGTAACGGCCTGGCCCACAGCGCCGTCGCTCCGTCTCTCTCTCTCTCTCTCTCTCTCTCTCTCTCTCTCTCTCTCTCTCTCTCTCTCTCTCTCTCTCTCTCTCTCTCGCTCCTGCCGGACGCCCTGCCGGTGTGGCAGAGACAGAGCGAAGAAAGCAGCGTTCGGATTACCGGCCTGCAGCGACCAGGCCAGTATAGTCTGATTCTAAAGAGCGCCTCGCCGCTCTGTCTCTCTCGCTCCCCACGGGACGCCCCGCCCCGGCGTGAGTGCGAGAGAGACGGAGTGCGGGATGGCCGCGGCGCGACGTATTGGCGGCGACTGATGCGCGTCCGCAACACTGGCTTGACAAAGTGCATCACGGGCACAGTGCCGCACAGTGGGCCGGCCAAAGACGCGTTTTGAGCTCCAGAGTCGCTAAGCAGGACTCGAACCGACCGTGTGACCCCACCAATGGATTGCTCTCCGAACGAGGAATCCATTGATGGGGTCACACGCTCGGTCCGAGTCCCATTTGGCGACTTTGGAGCCCAAAACGCGTCTTTGGCCGCCTCCACCGGTTCTCTGGCCCACCGTGTGCCGGTGCTCGGTCGGGAGAGCGATGGGGCAGCGACGCCGGCACGGCGGAATTAAGGCGCGGCGCTGCTTGACGGCGGGCCGGCTGAATTAGGAGCGCGTATTGGCAGAGCAAACAATGACAACCGCTGTCTCTGTCGCACTCACGCGGCGTCCCGTCGAGGTGCGAGGGAGAGCACCGCTCGGAATGAGCCTGGGTACATCGGGCCCAAGTAGAAACCGGGGCACTCGCAGTGTGGCGCTCGGGTCGCCTCGCCGACTTTCCTCTTGCTCTCCGCGGCGACGCGGCGATCGCGCCCTTTCTGTCGCTGTCGCGCCGCGGCGAGCCTCCAGCCGGAAGGGGCGCATGAGAAGCAATGCGAAGCACAGACACACAGTGGAGTGGAGTCCCAGGGGCTCTGGAGGGCGCCGCGAAGCGCCGCTGTCACCGGGACCGCCTCCCTCCACCGCGTCCCCGCTGGTCCCCGTCCTCAGCGTCCTCAACGTTTCGTTAAGCGGCTTTGGCGCGTGCCGAGTGCTTTCCTCGCTCTGTCTCTCTCGCACTCACGGGGCGGCACGTAGCGGTGCGAGAGAGACAGAGCGACGGATCAGAATACCACCCGGGCGCTGCGGTAGCCGCTGACGAGGTTGCTTCAAAGAGCGGCACGCGCCACCCGGACGCCGCCAAGGACGCTGTGTTGGTTTTCCTCGTGCTCGCTCGCTGTTTCGAGGGCGCGCCAGAGGACGCCCCAGAGGGCGCCGTTGTCAAGGGCGTTCGTGGCGTGCTCTGCGGTCTGTTCCGGCCGCCGTGCGCGCCGTGCGTGTCCCGGACGCCCGGGACGCCCTGGACGCCCAGCACCACGACGTGGATGTCGGCGGGGCCACGCGCCAGTGTCGCTCTCGGAGCCGCTCTTCGCTGGGCTGACGCAAGATTTTCTCATTCGGCGACAGGCAGACAGAGTACACTGTCTGCGACAAGTCAGACCGGTGCGGTCCCACTCGGTTCTACTTGGCTGCATGCTGGGCCAGGCGAGGCAAGGTGAGGCGAGGTGCAGCCCGAATCTCATTTTCAGCCACTGCGCGCACATCGGGGCACATCCTGGGCGACGTCCTCCAGGGCCCCGAGTCCTGCCGTGCCCACTCCACTGCCAGTCAAATCGGATGGTCATGCCTCGATCCGGCGGCGGCGCTCCCGATGGCTTTCACGCTGACACGTGTCTTGTT